TCACAACTAGGACCTCAGCCTTCTTCCAGCATTCTATCCGTACTTCATTATTATGAATAATAAGTACTTAAAGTGATAATGATCGCTCGAGATAAGCGCCGAGGTCTTATTTACGACAAATGTACTTTAACGACGACACTTTAAGCCAGTAATGATTCTCAAGGAGTTCGTCACGAAACATAATTTACGTAGAAGAATGTGCTCCGTCTATCCGCTGTTCATCCGTCTGAAATGCTATTTACTGTTGACGTGGAATTATGACGTACAGAAAGTGAAAGAACTTGTAAAGTTTAATCTACACGAGGTTCTTAAACAAGCTCTAATCGGTTAACATTTCGGCGTCTTCGTCTTCCTCAGAGACGATGATCCAAGTCGATGGTACACAGTCGTTCGTCCTTTCGTTGTAGGTCTTCTTTGTTGTATCGAGTCGTCGCCAATATTAAGTGTAGGTCGGTCCACTAAGTGTAACATTCTTCTTAAAAAGTCCATTATCTTTGGAACAATGAATGTGTTCCATCTTGCCGTACGGTCATAAAGTGGTATATTTCAAACCACAACCACATGTACGTCATCGAACTATTCAATCATTCTTGTAAAGGAAGGCATGTCAAGTTAGTGTATATAGTCACTGAAAGAATGGATCTCCAACTGTCAGTATTTCTAAAATTGTATAAACACTTACCGCAAGATACGTTACACTGTGACTTTATGAACAGGAGGCTTTTTTGGCAACACGATACTCCATCGATCACTAAGGAGACACTAGAGAGAAGCAGCACAGTGGTAGTGATTTCGACGCCGTCCTAGCTCAAGCAAAGCTCTCTTCCCCAGTGGTAGGGAGATTGGTACCAGACTAGTCCGGGACATGCTAACTCACCCCACTCCACGTGGGAAGGCCCCAGCATTTGACTCTTGACACTCGACCAACATTCAGCGACATTCAATACACTATTGGACCACTGACCGCTGAATTCACCGTCAACACCTTCGCCGTCTTCCGAAAACGATAGAATCCTCAATCTTCAGATTTTCACTAGAACTGTTTCACGAGTGATTCTATTCCCTGTAATTAGTTAAAAGCAGTAGCCGAAGCCACCCGCAAGAAAAAACGTTAGGAGACCTTAGTCAACGGTGAATGCTAGGAGACGGATGGAATGCAAGAAATGCTGTGATCCGCGCAGTGTGATACATGCGATATCTGGTCACATAGTAAATGAGTAAAATAACGTATTTCTTACTGCACTTTCTAGTGACAACGACTACTATCAGGGCTAATGCTATCAGGCTTTCAAGTCTTGCCCGCCAACAATTGAGGTGATGACTCATCTACCTCAAGGGCAGGCAGCGACCTGAGTACAAATTTACAAACTCCAGTAGTCACCGACATTGTCATGACATGGGATGCAATGGGCATGCAAGAGGAGGACTAGAATCCTAATAGTCCCTCCATAGTGGCAATGTAGTGGTCCCTACATTAAGGTAGAAACCGTTCTCCGTGTCTCAACATATGTAGCCTTCTACAGCACGTTCTTCTGGTTGCATATCTTCATGGCTAGCTCACAGTCAGTTCCCAAGTATAGGCCATAGATAATTCCTAGTAATTCACCGGATCTGTGCACCGAAGTAAAAATTGTCTATTCACCCCAGATTTGCTGTCATCGAACGAAGATCCAGTGGTTATGAGGCAGTACATTGTTGGGACTACTCACCGCTGACTTCACTGTCAACATCTTCGCCATCCTTCCCCAATTCGTTTCCTTCACGCTCTTCGACAGGAACTGCTGGAATTTCTACATCGTTGTTATCATTTTTAAAATCCTCATTGTCATTTTCGACAAGCAATCGATCACTGTTCAAAAATATATATCTTCTGGTAGACATCTCATAAAAAACTTGTCCTCTTAGGGATTTTTATCAAAGCTACAGATGTATCCGGTATTTGGGAAAAGCTCAGGTAAATGTCCGGAGCAGATAAAAACGCTGTCCATTCCTAACCAAAATTTACTGCTGTGAACAAATCTAACTTCAACTCTATTAGTGCTCTACTTAAAGAAAAATTACTTGTAATGCCCGTGTTCACTGGTTGTACCAGCCCCAGCATAATTTCAATTTTTTCGGAGTTTTATTGGTTTAGTCATTGTGGTTCCCTGGAGTCCCGAGGTCAGTCTGGACAAAGTCTGCCCAGGTCGTCACCACCACAGGCAGTCGCCGTCCTTGTGGATCAGGAGATTTGCCACCATGCGACTAGGTTGATAACGGGATCCTGGTATTGGTTTACTCTTGAATGGGCTTCATGGCGGAAACGCCGGACCACTTGTGAGCTTGACAGCCCTTGCTAGGAGATGAATCTCCTCCCGCCGCTGTACATTGTAGCACAAGAGAAATATTTATTAATAAAAAACCGGTATCGTTCATAATGTGCTGGGTAGAAGGGTGTTTGAGAAGCGGACGACTTTTACTAAGTCCGTACCTGACATGAAATTAGACGTCGCCACTCGCGGCAGTCGCGTCAAATCAAGTGTCTGGCGTTGTGTGTCGCGCACTATGGTTTGTAGAGAAGAGTTTTTTCTTCCCTTAACGACCCGTCCTGTGATGTCTATAGTGAGAAAGTTATCGATACAAAAAGTGGAGGCAAAGAGAGGACGTGGCAAAAGAGTAAATAGGAAAGAAAACGAGGTTGAATCGGCGAAGGTCGTTGTGGATGAGTTGAAATTATGTGTTAATCTCTGACTGAACGTTTCTGTTGACCATAAGTGCCATAACGGATAATTACAGGAAAACGTCTTGTGCACTCGGTCTACGTAGCTTTTTAAGAGTTCATTCAGGGGCTAAGGATTAACATGTGGAGCATAGCCTCTAATAGATGAAGTAACTAGTAACTAGAGAAGTAGTAGTCGTTTCTTATAGTCATTTTTGAGCTAAATATCGAAAGAAACAAGAAACAACCCATACAACTGGAAGTAAAGTCCGAATATATACGGTGAATTTGCCGGAACGCTACGGGTTTCCTCACAGATCTTCGTGTTAGATATGCCAAATCGATTAGTCTCGACCGCTACATGGACCGTCGTTAGCGGATGTTAGACTAAATGTGGCAATGGTGCAGGTGCTCCCAAAAAGTGAGATTCCTATCCTTGCTGCTTCAGGTTTTATATATGTGGATTGCCCTTAGTTGACAGTTTGCTCAAAGTCTTTCAGTCAAGTGACTATAAAGTACATGTGGGGCACGTTCATCTCCAACTAGTACAGAAAATGTTTGCTCCGTAACGCGCCAACAATTTATCCAACTGCATACTGACCACCCATTGCTTAATTTCAGTAAATTACCTGTGGGTACCCTTTACTCGATAAAACAATAGGTTTCATATTAATACGGCCGTGTAGGTTGATCTCTTCGAACAGGCAGACATTACTGGGAAATTGTGCCGCAGGGTTCGGACGGCGAACGATTTATTAGTTCATGTTCGAGTCACTTGTTGGAATGACAAATGGTTTAAGTGATCTGAGAGGAAGAAGTCACTTTAGCAGTAAAGTGGTCTAAACACCCCTATCTTCAAAGTTCTCAAGGCCTTTCTGAGTGTGTCTGTGAACGAAAGCAGATGTGGCGGTGAATTTTCGTGGCAGTGATAGTGGTTCGAGTTTATCGAATACTCGTCAAAACGACCACGTGTTCCTGAAGAAACACTTGCCAGTCATCTGACTGTCTGATGAGTAGAATGGCGACTAACGAACACCTTCTTGGTCAAATATTCTCATTCAAGTGAGCACGGCTGGTGCTATAATTTCACTGAAGTCATTTACACGTGGTCGGCGCTGAAACGGTGAGTAAAAGAAAAGAAGGAACACCTGTTCATCGGACCTGAGAAAAGGAATCGAGTAGATACCCGGCCATTTGAAAACGAAAAGTCGAGATTGAAGAGTGCTTGACCTTTTATTATAAATGAGTTTTAGGCCCGAATTCTAGTCAACTGATAGGATTCATGGTGTCAGGCAATCTAGAAAACTGTTGGCTATGGCCACTAAAGTGTAGTAGTGTTACGTAATGAAATATTTTACATTGTTGTAAAATACAAATGTGGCACCTCTAAGGTCTTTTCGGCTGCTCCGTTTTATCTTACATGTTCGGATATCTTCCCATCGGAATCCACTATCATCAATTAGGATATGGAAAGTACAACACTTGCCGAGTACACACTACACTTACAGCCTTCTTTATTTCCAGCTCGGAAATCTACAGATGTGCGAGGACTTGATGTCCTGCTTCTCTTTTCTGTTAGCTCAAAATGAAGAACAGTTCAGGAAGCTCCCTTGATTGACGTTTGCTAATGGATTTTTGAATAAATTCCAGAGTTTTCATGACAAATTTCGCATATGGTAAATAGAGTCATTTCAAAATTTCGCAATCAAGATCAACTTTAAGAGAAATGGGAACGTGTAGAGCAATGTTCGGAGACGTTCTGCAATACACATGGGGTCAGTCCCCATGTCCATGGCTCACCAAGCCTTCCATCCGTAGGTAAACTAGTACCAGACTTGTCCGGGAGGATAGCAGCACTGGCTCGATACATCGGTACTCCATCATGGGTCATTGTGAAGACTAGATATACATTCAATCACCTCCAGCGATGCTTAGTGAAGTCGAATGCATGGCGCATCCCTCAGGGATTGTTCAACGTCGAGTCCAGGCGCGAAGTTTGATAATCACTTCGGTATGAAATATTATAGAGACGTAAAAACTCATTTCTTGAGAGTAGATTTCATCAGCTAAGACGAAATCCATAGTTACATCGAAGATTTGAGCACATGGGTTGAAATCTATAGAACTTTGTGAACTCATTTTTGCTTATAAGCGCCCTATTTTGCTGTTTTCATATGGTCCATTCGAAGAACACGAATACTACCATGATTTCATTTCTTCGTCTTCACCTCAAAAACAACGCAGATCCGAAAACATTCGGTCAGATCTGGACCGCATCCAGCGCTGCGTTTCTGGGCCAGGAATGACCCGCGGGTACGGTTCGGTCTGTGAGAGCGCCACGGGCGATGACCTAGACGTTCGATTGACCGCCGTTCGTATCGAGAGTGGCTCATTTTCACTTCGAGTCGTTAGATTACTCCAACGTCCGTCTACTCCTTCTGATATTTCGAGTTCTAGGAACTCCTCATGTGTTCGAAAACGATTTTCGATAATCCTGATCCTGAAGATCTCAGCTTTGACTTCTCCTTAGAGAATACTGGATGCTTGGTCAGTGTTTTGTTCCGTCGTACTGTTCTACCTTATTTAGCTATCTAGGAAAAAGGAAAATAAGAGAGTGGCTCAGTCACATCACATCCAACTTCCAGATCACTGTGAGGAACTACAGAGATTTCAACGATGACTCTGCAAAAAAGCTGTTTCCTCGTAGTTCAGCTGACTATGTACCTTCAGCTACGTACACCATCCCGGATAGGTAAGAAGTACTCTTCATTCACAATGTCGTCTTTTTTTTATTTACCACCTACTGATGCTGCTATATTCGCAAAACTCCTGATCGCTGGTGTCTGCATTGTGGTTACCGAACACGCTGTTACGCTTTTCAGCGCATAACACCTTCACTACCACACCATGCGAGTCCTTCGTTTCGCTTTCCATTAAAAAGAAGTAGACAGTGAATAGAAAGTGACAACATTGCGATTTATGCCACTATTTATTCACTTAAAAGGAATCCATGAGTTGTCTAATTCCTGCTAGGAAAGTGGCAAATAGCAAAAATCACCAGCAAATAGAAGGATCCCTCGAATCCTGGAAAGAAGAAGCACTTACTCTATGATTGGCTGAAATGCGCAGGAGTGTATTTAGTAATATGAGAAAATTGTGCATAATCTTTTGCTTTCCATTTCATTATAAGGTGAAAAATGAGTGTAAAGGATGAAAGGGTAAGGCTGTCGGCGTTGGTCAATCCATGAGGGATGCGGTATGGATTCGATTTTATTATTAGAGGTGATTGAATGCATATCTGGCCTTTACAATGACTCGCGGTGGCCTACCGACGTGTCTAGCCAGTGCTGCTATCATTCCAAACAGGTCTACTACCAATTTGCCGACCCCGGAAGGATGGAGGGCTTGGTGAGCTTTGGGTGCGGCGATCGAACCCATGCATATTGCAGGGCGCCTGCGACCAGTGCGCTGCGTAAAATATTCTGCTATATTTAATATTATTACTCGTATGTAGCCTATCTACGATGCTGTATATTATAGGTGGTAATATTAAGTCTTGCCATTTATTCTATTACTATGTTACTTCAACAAAGTGTGCACAATGAAGGCTTATAGCGTTTTTTCTTCACTGATAGCTAGGCATGTCAATGAAAACGAGAAAAAACCTTTTTAAATAGAATGTTGTACATATTAAACCCATTGACTTTGTTTATGTTTCAGCTACTTCTCTGAATCCTTCTGGAATACTGAGAGAGAACGACTTCAGAGGGTACTTAATGTTTGGATTTCGAATAAAAGCAAGTGAGGTCGCAAAGTTTGCAGGAAGAAATTGGCAATAGTTTTATATTAGACGATTATATTGTCTAAAAATTGGTTTGAAACTCTTCAATGTTTATCTTCAGACTGGTTGCCGCCGTTCCAAGTGAGAAGACAGATGACCTTAGATTTGTAGATTGCATGGCTCGTGTAGTTGCTGTTATTGATGTAAGTCTTCTTCGTTGAATTTTGGCTCAGATCTACTTCTGTTTTTCTCACTCAATCTCCTTTACTGCTATACTATGCTTCTCTGAGTGCGGTATATTTCTTATGTTTATCTTATAGATGTACGAATGGATGCTGGCTGCCTGCTGGGATGGTGATAGAAGCAAACCACCAATTCCACTTTATCTCTACAGAGCTAGACTAAGTAAGATGAAGTGCTGCTAAAGTGTATTGAAATTAAATGTTTTTCATCAATAAGCAGACACGAGGTTGTTAATATAGAATTTATTAGAACACAATTGCTGACGTTTCGGCGGTTTCGCCTTCTTCAGAGCCGTTTATTTGTTGTGAGTATTTAAGTTGGTTGGTGGATAGCCGCCGCACAGAGTAATACATGGTCGATAACTGTGTATTACTGTATCGAAATTAGTTCATTCAATTCTTAAGTACAACTAGTATTTCACATCTACTATGCGGATCCCAACACTTCTCGAATTCGATTCGTTTCCTCGCATCCATCATCCACGAAGGTCTTCCAACTTTTAATTTGTGGCTCCGGCTGCTGCCTGAGGATTTTCTTGTCATCATGAATGTCGTTGAATGCTGGTCGAGTCAATTCTTCTTACATACTTTGAGATAGCTCAGCTAAGGCCACGCGGACTGAAGAGGGGGTCGAACTAAGTCTTTGCTTCCTGATTTACGGCATCACTAACCACTGCTCCATCCCTCACAATATATATATATATATATGTATATATACGTTTATATTGTGTGGGCGCGTGTGGCGCAGTGGTTAGAGGCGCGACTGCGACATATACGTGGAATCGATTCCCGCGCCCACGGCCCACCAAACCTTCCATCTCTCCAGGGTCGGCAAATTGGTACCAGACCTGTCTGGAAGGATAGCAGCATTGGTTTTATACATCGGCAGGCTACCGCGAGTCATTGTAAAGGCTAGATATGCATTCAGTCACCTCCAACGACACAACGAAGTCGAAAGCATGGCGCATCCCTCAAGGATTGATGAATTTTGAGAGCTTTATCCTTTTTTATCCCTTATATATATACATATGGTCTATTTAGGACACCTGTTTGTATTTCTTCTGTTTAGGCGAACTGAAGGATGCGAACTCATTAGGGATTCAATGTCTGCATGATTTCTTTTGCATTGAGAAGCATATAGAAAAGTTTGAAGACGATCTAGAGATTTCTAATGTGAGAAGTGCTCCACAATGGGAAGTCGCGCTTATGGAGCATATCGATGAAGTTCTGTAAGTTTCCTTATTTCTCTAGTGAGTATCTGTATTAAACATTTCCACTTTAAGGATCGCTTTGGATAAAATTGCAAACGCTGGTGAAAAGGTGGAAGAGGCTTTTGAAGTTGCAGTGGAAATCCGGCAGTGCCTCATTGAAGGCAAGAGCTGTAGCGAAGATCTGTCAGCCAAATTAAGTTGGTGGTATTCATTTTAATTCATGGATTTGTTTCATTTCATTTAATTCATGCTGATGGCAACGTCAGGTAGAAAAAAACTAAAACAGAGAAGCGCAGAGGAAAGACTTTCGTGATTCTGTGTGTAATACGCGAACCCCGGAAAGAGGTGATCGTGGTTCAGTCTGGTTTGGGGTCCAAGTGTTACGAATGTATATATATATATATATATATATATATATATATATATATATGTCAAATCATACCCTGACGGGAAATATTATAGTAGGCAGAAAATAACAGATTAGCCTCTAACCCGTGGTTTCAAAACTTCATTTGTGCTACTTCCAGAGTTTCTGAATGAAACGGTTGTGCTACTAGAGAAGAAGGTCACTGAGCGTACAAAAGTGTCGGCTACTAGAACTCAGTCTTCAGTTTCGAATGGAGACAATTGTTCCAACGGAATTGTAAAGCTCTCCAATAGAGGTCGGCGAAGCACTGGAGCCAAACGAGGACGCAGAAGCACAAAACTGGGGAAGGATGGTGACTACATCAAAAAACGAAGAAGTTTGGGTTCGATTACTCGCGATCCAGCTGATGGTCTTATATCGAGAGTAAAACGCGGTCAACGTACTCGCAGACCAGCTCGCGGCAAGTTCTTAGTACCTTTAAGTGCTATCGTTTATATGTTCAACTGTTTTGTAGTTGTGTTTAATGACCAAGTTGACTAGTATATTAGACATGGATTGTATTTTTTAACATGGGCGTGTCTGGCGCATTGGTCGGAGGTGCCCTGTAATACAAAACACTTGGGATCGATTCCCGCTCCCCACGTCCCCAACTCCTCTATCCGTCCGGGGTCGGCAAATTGTTGTGAAACGTCTGGGAGGATAGCAGCATTGGTTCGATACATCGGCAGGTTACCGCAAGTCGTTGTAGAGACCAAATTTGCATTCATTCACTTCCAAATGATGCTTTATGAAGTCGAATGCATGGCGCATCCCTCAGAGTTTGATTAATGCTTAGAGCTTTATCCTTCATTATTGTCCTTATATTTCTTTGTGCAGTATCAGGAGCTAAACACTGAAGCACATTTGGCGTGGTTTCTCGCTGTCTTTTTTTTCCCTTAGAAATACTTCCAGCTCCCTATGATGCTCAGGATTAGGAGTTCCTATATTACGTTGTTATTGTGTACTTTTGTTATCTACTTCGTTAATACTTTGCAGCATTCACACCACTATGGACCTTGTCACCAAGCCCTCCTCCTGTACCCAAGACTGCGCTTTCCATCAAGACTTCAACATCGGTGCGCAGGTTGTCTTCACTTGTTATGAAGCGCACTTCATCTCCTTCCACCTCGTCAGCGCCGGGACTTCTGTCACCAGATAGTGGACGTCCAAGTAGTAACGAATCAAGTGGTAATGCTACTACAGCTGTCAACGAAAAGCAGTTGTTATGCGACGCACAGCAAAAAGTTAGCGCAGCTGGGTTAGAGGTAGAGCTCGATGTGTTTGTTTTGATTTCATTCGTTCTGGTTAGGTTGTAGAAAAGGAAATATTGCCTAGAATGTATTGTTTCTACTTTTTAGCAGTGTGGAGTTACTCAGCCTGTTCAAAGCCTGACAAGTGAATCATTCTTGCTTCCACCTAGTACCTCTCTTGCAACAGCAGCTTCGTCCGTTCAAGCTATTGTGCCATCGACTAGCTTCTCTACACCTACCACAACCTTATCCATTCCTAAGGTGCCTCAACCACCACCTCTTAACCTCGACGAGCAGGTAATTACCATTACTAATTAATTTTTACATGGTGCTAAAAAATCTGTTACTAGTCTCTGTTGGCTCTATTGAAAGAGAAGATTCAACTTGGCGACGTGCGTATAACCCTACTGAACATGCTTGCAACAGATGGAACTTCTCATTACCATGTGGGGTTTGTTAACCTCTTTTTTTTTTACAATTTTAGTGCTTAATAAGACTATATCTATCTCTGAGCACATGTGGCATAGTGGTCGGGAACACCCTGCAATACACATGGTATCACTCGCCGCGCCGTCTCCGACCAAACCCATCATTCCTCGGCTGCAGCAAATTGGTACCAGACTCGTCTGGGAAGACAGCAATACTGGCTCAATACGCCGGTAGACCACCGCGAGTCATTGTGAAAGCCAAATATTTGCATTTGATCACCTCCAAACGATTCTTAATGAAGTCGAATGCATGACGCATCTCTAAGGCATCGACGCACACCTTTAGAGGGCTTTGTCTCTGTTTCTGTTTTGCTAATATTTCTTATAACTTGTATTGCAGTTCATACCACTAATGGTCGAAACAATCGATAAAGCAACTGCTGCACTGGACAATAAGGACATGATTGCTTACACCATGCATAGGGGTAGGTTTTAATGTTTCGTTGTTGTGGTTCTAACGGTTTTACACTGTTTTGATATACTGAGGAATTCACTTCCAGCAGCCATCGAAGTAGGTTGTGCAGAACTTGGGAACATAATGCGTTTATGCAATCCAGTTGGTTGGTATTTTCGTCTCCAATTAGTTGTTTCACTTAAAGTGACTCAATGAGACCATTCTTTCATCTTTACAGATCCCGCTAGCCAAATAGCCACACTAGCCGCTGCCATGGGACTTAATCCAGCACCGTTCACTACTATGATCCAGGTTGTTTTGTTCTGCTTGTTATTGTTGTTTCTATTTTAAATTTCTTATTCTGTTTCTTTATCACTATTTTTTATATATTGTTTATTATCACTTCCTTATTTATAGCTTTTTTTCGTTTAATATGTTATTTTTAATACTCTTCTATAATTTTAACTTATTATTTACTGCCTACTCTTTTTAACGGCAGGGTATACATTGTGAAATATAACTTGAATGATGCTGAGATATTTTCAAAATTCCGGACCGCAGGTGTATGCGGTGTGGAACGAACGTGCTATTGTCCTTTCCGGGGGGTAGCGCGTTCACCACCACACCACGCGGGTCCTTCGTTTCGCCTGTCTCTCTCTTCTATATGTTATCCTTTGCAGTTGTTTTTGTTAACTCCTAAGTAGTGTTAAACCACTCTTTATAATGTGCTGTCTAAAATGGGTTGGAAGAGCAGAAATAGATAGAATGCAAGCAGATCATCTATATCTCGGTGTGAAAATTACCTACTTGGATACTTGGATTGCACGTCCTCGCTGGCCGTACGGGCCCCAACTTAATATTCATTGTTTCGGAGTGTTGCTGATTTAGTCGCTGTTGTTCTCTGGAGTCCCGAGGTCATGTAGACCAAAATCTGCTTCAGGTCATCGCCACCACAAACTGTCGCCGCCCGCGTGGCGCAGAGGAAGATTTGCCACCATGCGACTAGTTTGATACCAGGACGTTGGTGGATCGTGGTATTGGTTTAATCTTAGGAGGGCTTCCTAACAGAAATGCTGGACTTCTCAGCTTGGGAGGTCTTGCCGAGGGAATGAATCCCCCGCCGAATATCTGCCTGACACCAAGTAACACCTCCCATCCATCATAAGGCGGTAATCCGTTGGGAGAGACATAAAAATTACATGGGAAATAGTTGAGAAATGCGTTGGCAAGAAGTCTTTGAAGTCTCCGACTTTCAGACTTTTTTGCCACTTGACTAGTTGTTGTATCTGTTATTTTTCAACATAATGTTTTTTCTATACTGTTCGTTTTCTTCCGCTAACACTGCAGTTTTGATACAGAATAATATACATAATAACACCTCGTGCTTGCTAAGCAAGAACATAAGGGACTGCAGTTTTTATCGGCTGTTCCTAATTTGAGTGCTGTGACATCCTAATTGTAGCCATCAGCGGTGACTAATGGACTCAGTTCCGATGTGTTAGTCGATCTACATGAAGCCGCAACTGTAGTGGCGGCTCGCGAAAAGCTAACAGGCTCATACACTTTGCCTGCTCAGACCGCGGAAGCCTTTCCAGGATATATGGAGCGAGACATAACAAAATATTTGTTGTGAAGCAGTAAACATTTTTCTAGAACTTCGTGTTCATTCTATGTCTTTCTGGAGCTTCTCATCAGACAATGTTCCCAGTTATTGCCTTTTTTGTTTTATGCTTGTATGTTTTGTATCACCTCGTCAATCATTTTGCTCATTTTTAGTTGAAAGAAACTTGCCTCATGTTTTTTTTCATTTCAGTCGCGTTTTTACTTTTTAATTAACAAGTGTTTGGAAAAACATAGGGAACCTTTTCTAAGAAGTTGTATGCTTTAAAATCGCTTACCTGTTGTTTGTTCACAAAACCATCTCTTTTACAAATTGTTGAGCTGAAGGACTCATTCATAAAACCGTAGGTGGGTTTTCCGCACCAGCAATTACAACTTCTCATCTGTTTTGAAGATTCAGTATTTGTTAACTTTCTATTTATTTTGGTGTATAAGTTGTAAATAAATATTACTAAAATTACAAAATATGACATGGTAAAGTACATCTCCTTCGGTACTAGGATTCCCTTCTTCACAAGTTTTGCGGGTCCTAGGCACACTGGAAGGAAGGGCTACTCATGAAGTTTTTCTATGACGTTCTCAGTTCTTCATCTGTATCACCTGTCATCACCTTGGTCGTGGAGTGGCTCAAGCCGGCGCCAGGAAATCTTCCATTTTTCTCTTTCGCAGGCTGGAGTAGCCTATTAGGTTATGCTAGCTCTGTGGACTCGTCTAGCATCATACCTTTCTTCTAGGCTTTTGGTGAGGAACTATGATCTTCGGCTTGGTGGTCTTTTTGCGTTTTTTAAATGTACGTTAGACATCTCGAGGAATCCAGTCACGTACGATTCGCGTCCTTTAGTTGTCGTTCATAAGCATTGCGTATCCGGGTCACATTGTCATCGACAGTTTGGCACGCAGAACGGCATCTTTGATTTTTGACCGTTGATGCAGATAGGAGTTTCGGATCCCATCTCTTACTTGTGTGGAACGGGATACTCCTAGCATCGTCCTTTCGACTGCGCGCTCGATAACGCCGAGTGATCTTTCATCCTGCTTACGCAGCGACCAGGTTTCCAACACATACGTTAGGGCAGGAAGTACCGTTGGGCCGAAAAGGTGGGCACGGAGTCGGGGGGTGTTCTTTGTTCTTTTCACTACATCTTCGATGCTCTTGAAAGCTCCCCAAGTCCCTCGTTTTCTTCTGCTCAGCTCTGGGACCAGGTCGCTCATCATATTGATTTCCAAACCTAGATAAATATAGCAGGAGCATTCGGAGATATTCGTTCCGTTGAGCGTGAATAGGGTATGCGAAACCAATCCGTTCTTCATGAACATCGTTTTTGTGAGATTTAGTCGAAGACCAGTCTTTCCACACAGTCCTCAAGCATACGTTCCGGCTGGCTAATGTTTGGTGTTATAAGGACGATGTCATCAGCAATCGAAGATGATGTAACTGCCGACCATCGATTTTCACTCCCATGTTGTCCCATTCCAATGTTCGCATGACGTTGTCGAGGGTGGCGGTTAATAATCTTGGCGAGATGGCATCGCCTTGCCTAACTCCTTCGACGGCGATGTTAATATCGTTGTACAATGGTGATATCTTGGTTGTGAAATTTTGTACAGCTCACGAAGAATCGCTGTGCTGACTAGGGACTCCTTGACTATCAAGAGCTTCCATGACTGCTTATACCTCAATTGAGTAAAAGACTTCTTTACATCGATGAAAGTGAGACAGAGCGGTCTTTTGCACTTTCGCGATAATTCAATGAATCTTGTTATCGTGCGGATGTGGTCCATCATACTAAATCTTTTTCGAAACCCTGCTTGCTCACATGGCTTTTCTTCGCCCAGCGTTCTGTCAATCCTGTTTAGGATAACTCGATTGCAAATGTAGACAGGAAGCAGATTGGGCCATAGTTGCCGATATCGTGTAGGTCACGCTTCTTGAACAATAGGACGGTTTTGCACTGATCAGAGACCTTGAATTCGAACAGGTAACCTATGAACAGCTGAGCCAGCTCGTTTGTGAGAATTGGCGGAAAGTTTTTCAGGTGTTCAGATCTAATCCCGTTCGGACCTGGTGCCGTTGAATTTTTCATCGACGAAGTAGCATGTCGGATTTCAGAACGGAGAACCGATGGTTCGACACAAGCGGCTATTGAAAGGATCCGAGTAGTAACCGTGAATCATTTTTGTCCGGCAGTCGGGGTGCAATCATCTTGGTTTTGTAATTGGTGAAGCAAGCTTTTATGATCTCTGCGAATGTTTTCCCCCAGCCTTTGCAGCTTCGACCATAACTGCTGCTCTTCTCTCTTTTCTTTTTCTTTTTTTCTTTTTTTTCTTCTTTCGCCTGTCTGCATTGTTTTGCAAGTTTCGAAGTGAGTTCGCGGTGGCCTGTAGCTGGCATCATTCCACGTTGGGGTACCAAATGAATGTTTCTAGAAATAGACGTATTTTTGGTGACGTTCGAACTAGCAGCTTTGATAGCGCTAATGTGACGATGTAATGAGCGAATCGTATTCTTCGACAACATTATTAAGAACGCCATCTTGCCAACGGTTCGCTTAAGGACTTAATAAATCCCAGTTTATGGTGGATTTGGCACTTTTTTTTTTTGAATCTAGCGGCTTTTTCTCCTTTATGTGAGAGATGATATCTTGCACGAAGGAGACGGTGGTCTGATCCCGTGTAGAGTTTTGAGACAATAGCGACATCAATATGTATTCTTTCTTGATAAGCTTGCACGAGATTGATAAATATATTTATTTTCGGCTAACGTTTCGACGTCTTCGTCTTCCTCAGAGCCGGTGATCCGAGTCGATGGTCCATGCTTGTTGTTCGTCTCGACGTTGCGTCTTCGCCTTCGTGTCGAGCCAGATCTTCCTCAGTGAGCCATCTTCTCGAATGAGGCATCCTCACTCAGTGATGAGTTACCCTGAATAGTTTTAGTCGTCATGATAAACTCAGACAGACGTTCTACTTGGTCGTTCCATCGTAATTCGCAGGTAGCGATGTGACGTTGTTCTGGATCCAATCTTAGCATTAAAGGTTCACCGACGACCTTGAAGAATCTATGGTCTTTTCTGTAGTACTTCTCCAAGTCCATATAGAGCGCTTTGACTTCTTCTTCGTCATAGCTTGATGTCGGTGCCTAAAGTACGAAAATGGTCAGAGCCAGTATTGATCTACATCTCTTCAATCGTAAACGTCCGATTAAGGTCTTTAATTGTTCGAATGAATAGATTTTTACGGCCAAATTTGTGTTGACGTGAACGTCGACGCTGCTGACTCTGTAGCTGTCGCATGTTCCGAGGAACGGATCTTCTTCGATGCCATACTGGGCGTTGAGTAGGTAATGTCTTCTCGTCTCGACCAGTCCGGTGACGTCGAACCTTATCCTTCTTACATGCATAATCAAGTCCTGTACCGAGGATTCAAATGAAAATGTGCCTGCGTTGTAGGTTTCAGTTCTTAACAGCAAACAATCGCCGTCCGTTGTCGCAGGTCTTAGCGAGGCTTGCGACCTTAATAGTAGGCTTTACGAAGTACGAAAGCAACACTGATTTACACAGATTTACTCTTTGGTGAGATTCTGCACAAAAAACGCGGTATTTGCTTACCAGGAACGTTGTTGGGACGGCTCGCTGTTATATGAATGCCAAGTAGTTAAGAACACTCGGTCGGATTAGTTGCCCGCCTTTACACATGCAACGCGGAGTATTTTGTGACGGGCAGTCATAATGCTGGACACCTAAAACTTGGGTGACTAAACCTTTATATATACATATTATTTACAGCAACGCAAATAAACTTTGAAATATGTGTATGTAATATATGTAAAATATGTAATAAGTAAATAATTATTCAAAATTATAACGAAATATGTAAATAATTATTCAAAATTGTAATTATAACTGCAACCTCAGCTTAACTGGGCTCATCATTGTCAATTTTGGTTCTCCAGATCAATCCCGCTGAGAGGTGATTGTTGATGGCACTCATTGACAGAACTAACTGAGAGATAAGCGAAACGAAAGGCCAACATGGTGTGGTGGTGAACGCGTTATTCCACGGAAAGGGTAATAGCGCGTTCGTTTCCCACCTGCAGCCCGGAGTTTTGCAAATATCTCAGCATCATTGAAGTTATATTTCCCAACATTTCTTGCCATTAAAAAGAGTAGATAGTAAATAACAAATTAAAATACCGATTCGAGTTGAGACAGTGGTCAATTGCCTGTCAAATTTCCGGCTTGTGAACTTGTTTAAGAAAACGTCTTTCGTATATTTCTATGTGTGAAATATAGCTACTCATGGCTGACGCTCATTCTGTGAGCCAAATTAAGCCATCAGAAAGAGAATGACCATATAAAGCTCATATCGTCTACTCGAGGCAACGCGTGTGATCACATAGAATGCACGTCTACTATGTGTTAAGGTACCATCGGCCTTTGGCAAAGCTATGCATGAGGCTTGATGTATATTTTGGTATTACAAGGAAATGAACTATCAGATAGTTTTGTTTTTTTGCTTATTTGTATGGCCCGATTTTAGATATTGTACGGGTCTCAGTACTTCTTTCATCCACGAGGCTGGCTTCTCTCGCGTTTGCGCGATAAACGAGAGAGGGAATAAACAAGGCCATAGGACGTTTTCTTTTGCTTAGCGTTGTTATCGTTCTCTTTTCCATTTGCGTGTTCTGCTTACTACAATTTTTCTCTAGGGCAGCTCCACTGGTCAAAAATCGAACTTAAGCTCCTCAAGCATCGGCTCCTCAGTGGCATCAAAGCAAACTCGCTTCACTGAAATCGCAATTTACAAGATTTGCTCAAAGATACTTAGACCGACATTCTGCACGATAACAGTAAGTCTAGATGTGTAAATAGAGATAAATTCTCGATGGAGTATATTCTCATCGTCAACTTCGGCCGGTACACCTGTATTCATATTTTGCCTTGCCATGTCTATTCCGAATAGTTCAGTCAAAACTTGAGCTCAACAGTGGCATCGCCGTCTTTTTGTGGTGTTGTTTCCACACACGAGAAGCAATTGAGGGTGAATTCCCTTCTAACATCAGTGCTTCTGCTGTTATCGCGTTAGTTGTCAGTTATAGTAGCTCAGATAAAGTTTATTATAAACTGGAACTGCTGATTATTCAACTAGATTAGAAGCTGAATCTAGTCGGATTTTATGAATGTTTTCGGCTTGGGATTACTCAACAATTTTTTTTCCTTTTTTTTTCCTTTTTTTTTTTTGAAGAGTTGAAAAGACATTATCTTGGCTTTCATGTATTTCATGGAATTTCAATCATTAAAAAATTCAGATTTCTCTTCCATCAACTCTTGATTGGCTTTGAGGCATAAATATGCCTGAAACATACTCTATCCATGTTCTAGAAAATATCGGACCAATATCGCAGAAAAATGGAGATGTTTTGGTCGTTGTGTGTTCTCCAAAGAAGCGCTGTATGGGGGAGCAGAACTGGTCGAGCGCCTTTTGTGAACACCTAGTTTTTTCACAGCCGTTCATTCATTCTGGTGATGTCATTTATACATGTGCACTGCACTTACATCTACTTTAATTCGCCTCAGTGATTTATTGCGTTATGATTCTCCCAAGTTTCTGAAATTTAGTGACTAATCACAGTAGACGGGATTCAAACTAGGTAAACGAAATCATTCAGGAAACGGTTTCTGTAATGTGTTACACGCTGGAAATAGTTTTTCTTTGCATCTGTTTGGTAAAACATTTGTGGTGAAGAATATTAAAAGGACGGAAAAAACGTTATGTAGCAAAAGGAGAGCCCGAAAGAAATGAATCGAAATCAATGCGTACCGGCGACAGTGTCCTACCCACGTGCGTACTGAAATCAGTGCCCATCATCATGAATTGGTTAAGGATGGTGTGTTTGCGATTTCCACTATAGTTTTTACAAAGATACGAATTTATCATTCATCAAGTATATTATGAAGTTGGAGCTCAATCTCAAAATCAAAGTATTGATTTCATTTTAAGTTGTGTCCTTGTTTTCTTGCACCAGTGCCACAGAAGTAGATCGGTGACTTGATCTTCGTTGAGCAGACCTAGAACTTATGAAGTGTTATTTATAGTAACTTATCGACTTCAGTGATCTTAATTATTTGACTGACCTTCATTTGAATGCCAAATAATTGCTGTACCTGTTTCTTGTTGGTCCGTGCTAAAAGTTCTTGGACGATCTCGTGCACTTCTCTTCCAGCTGTTTCAGGCATGTTAAGAAATAGGTACGTCATCGAAAGCGAAGACGGAACGATGAAAAGAGGAATGAATGCCCAAGACTGAAGCAATATCTAATTGTGGTGAAATGTAAGAACAGCGCGAAAATAATATTAGTGATTCTGCCACCGGAGGTTCTAGGTTCTACAAATTGGTAACATTAGCTATGAATTGGTAGCTTAAAACGTTCAAACTTCACAAGGCATTTACAAGAAAAAACGTAGAACATTCTTGTTTGATGAGGCATTCGGTTAACCGAAAACACACAATGCAAAACTTTTTATTTACTGCCTCATATTTTTAATGACAAGGTATTATGTGGAATACAACGGCAATGACGCTGAAGTTTTTGCAAAACTTGGATCCTAGGTGAGATTTGAACCCGCGATTACCCTTTCTGGGGTTCACATGTTACCCAGTGCACCGCTGAGACCTTCGTTCGGTTTTTCCCTCAGAATTTTTTCTACCCTAGCGGTGCCATCAGCAATCACCCGTAGCAGAGAGTTTCGCTGGCACAAAGACGCCTGAGCGAACCTGAATTTTGCTGTATGCTGGAAGTGTGGAAAATGAGAAGGCGAAGTTCGCAATGGTATTGACCGCGAATACCATCGACTGCACAAGTGATCGGTGTTGTTGAGCAACAAGTTCCGACGTGATGAAGAAAGCTATTGGACCAAGACCGATACTGTAATAATACCTGTTGTACAAAATTTAGCTGTGAACAGTGGTTTAAAGGTAGCTGACCTACCCATAAGTTATTCCGAATAATGTCATAGCGACAATACAGCCCCATTTTAACGGCTCAAATAAGCTGGACAATTGTTCAAATACTACAAATAGCATCAACGAGACGATGTTGAAGAAACCAAGCCAGAGCATAAGAGTACGGCGTCCAAATCTGAAACCAATTCTTTTCTATGAAGTGCAGAAGTAGTGCCATCATAAATGGTAAAGTTGAAAACACGTTTTGGCCCAGCGCAAAAAATTGAAACGTCAAGTGCAGTTTTAATGTTTATAGTCCAACCTGTAAGATATCTGCGATATAAATGTAAATCAGCCATGTCTCTTAACAGTAAGGTGCTCACAGCTTCATCGTAAAATTGGCTTGGGATGTGAAATTTCAGAAAGAACTCTTGGTGGATTTGTGAGCAGAATGAGGAGATGGAGGCATGGCAACGTTATTGAAAACACAATATCATTTTTAGGATACGTGTAGCGCATTGAACGAGGATGCCTTCTACTATACATAGAGTCAGTTGTTAGTTTAATGTCACGACACTTACAAAGTTCTTCATTCTTCCAGGTTCTACAAATTGGTAACAAAGTTATCTAGGAAGATACCAACATCGACGTGAAGCATCGGTAGGCCGCCACAAAGCACTTTTTAGGGGACATATGAATTCAATAACCTTTAATGACGTTTAATGAAGTCGATGGCGCATCTCTCAGGAATCAACTAAGGCTAAATGCTTTATCCTTCTATAAGTTTTGAAATTTTCAGGCTTACCAACGTCTGCGGAAAACCGCAGGTATTATTCACCGTTAAATATCGGAGAGTGATAAAAACTATTAGTGAAAAGATGGATCTGAACCTCAGTAGAGAAGTTTTTGGATTTTACGTTTACGTCGTCAAAGAGCGTATTCTGTATTTTATTCGATCTATTTGTTGTATACCATTTACGTAATGCCTAGATAACATTTCTTGATGCATATTCTCTTAAAACTTCTATAACTTCTTGGTAAGTCTAGGAAGTGCTAATGTATGGCGGCTGTTTATAACACAGGTGTTAACTAACACAGATGACATGCACTGGCGACACATGTGTGTATAACTATACCATCGAGCATTTCAGTACGACGGCAGCTGTAAAGAATACCAGAAACAATCGAACCTCTCTATAATGAACATGCCACACATTCCAGCAACGAAGCTGGCTGTAATAAATAGTAAAGAAGCAGACTGTGAAGCTTGTTCAGTAAAATGCTTGGAAAATATATCGGTTGAGAGGTAAATAATTGGCCATATCCCAGCAACGATCTGAAAAGGTAACGCTTAGAATGGGCTTGTATGATTGATTCAATGCTTCGAATTCGAACTTGAAGACTGAGACAACCGATGAAGAATGGGGTTCGCAGATGCGACTCGCGTAAAACCCGCATAGCTGAACGGAGTATCGACCCTTCTGAGCATACTTTATCATCAATTTCAAGCAGCATTTCATCTAAGATAGCATCCGCATCGATCGTATTTCCTGAAACGGTGATTTGCAAAAAACGGTTGTGTAAGCGCTAACAGTATGTAAGCCTTTGAAGTGTGGCGGCATAGTACATGGTGATACAGTGGCGATTCGTCGTAACCCTTTGTTTTCATCAACTAAGTTTTTTCTCAAAAATTTACGTATCATCCTGTACCTCTATAGAACTTGAGTGATTCCTTCGCTGCTTTTCTGTTCTTGCGATTTATTAGCAAATATTTCGGTGTCTCTCGGAGCGGGATGACAATAATTATAGAGATAATAGCCGGTATCGTTGATATACCTGTAAGAATTTTAGTAAAAATTCTATTGTTTTGTCAGATGCGGCCAAAAAGCTTCAATGTACCTGTGAGGACGGGTAAGTTTTTTCCAAAAATCGTATCCATTCCAAACCCTATTCCCATTACTGTCGTCGCCGTGAATGTATTCTCGGAAAGAAAAGACGTCATACCGCGGTATTCTGTCGGTGATGTCTCCTACAGACTTTAATGAATTATGAGGAGGATAGCTTTCATAAATTGGCTACCTGTAGGAAAAGGATAAGAGAGCCAAATGAGAGGCCAGAGCTTATAGATGCAACAATTCTGGATACGAAGAACAGTTCCGGCACAGAAATTGTAACACTTAGAAATGAAAGCATCGAGCCAAGCAAAGCGATCACGTTCGAACACAGAAGGGTTCCTGAAGATGGAAATGACTTCACAATGATTCATTGGCCATGGGTGCTGCCGAAGTATTCAGCGTTTGCTAAGTGTAGTTATCACGGCGCGGCAACAATGCGCCTTAGCTTGCTAATGCATTTCAGTGATAAAATTGACGAAAAGTCTTCAAAACTGCACAAAGATTAAAAGTCAGCTCTCACTTTCCGTTTTTTTAAACTTGCTGTGTTGAGAGATAAGAGGAGATAGTTGTTGGCTGCGCTTTGTTTTACAGTCACAATAAACAATTCCGCTCAGCTTTGTGGTTGTGATTACATCATAAAGCTGTTTTGTAAAGTTAACGAACCAATAATAGAAAGCGGATAGCACAGTGGTAGTCATGTCCCTCATTCAGAGCCGAGCATGGCGCTAGTGCGATTCTGGTCCAGGCCAACCTAACCCTCGCATCCACCCGGGGTCGGGGAATTGGTACTAGGTTTGTCCGGAAATAACCACTCTCTGCAATCGAATTGGGAACGTTGTAGTACGGCTAGCGAATTCAAACTCAAGCGAACTCAAAGCAAGTCGACTCAAGCAGCATTCTACGACATTCAAGATGAAATGGAAATCCTCAAGCAGTAACCGAAGCCACACGTAAAGTTGGAACACGTTCGCTGACCATAGATGCGAGGAAACGAATCGAATATGAGAAGTGCTGTGATCCTCAGAGTAAACGTGATGACGGGTCATATAAAATAAAATAGAAAAAACGATAAAAAAAAGTTGTAGTTGCTTGATTGAGGAGATCACATCCCCGGCGTACCCATGCGTACCCACATAGGTACCTATGGGCGTGATAAGTGACGTGAAAGAGGAAATGCAGAGAGTACTGTGAGCACAATGAACAACTTTAAAACTCCCAATGAACTTTTAATGTTTATTTAGTGTCTATTCTTGAGAGAAAGACAAAGCAACAACCTTGACTGGTGCGCTGGACAGCACGTGAGCCCCTGAGAAGCATAATCGTGGGCTCGATGTCCAAATGAGGTTCCGACTTTCGCTCATATCTCAGCACCTTTGTGGTTGTATTTGTCAAGAAATGGTCGCAAAAAATCGACAGGAAAAAAAATCGACAGTTCTGATATACTCTCACAACTTCAGCCACATCGAGTTTCTTAACACATGAGCGATGGGAATGGTAGAAGGGAATAATCACCTATTTCACCTGTAGTCTCGTTGATCGTCAAGTGACTCGAGTAGGCGCCAGTAAATCTTCTATTTTTCCCAGTCGCGTGCAAGAGTAGCCCAGTGGGTTCTGCTCGCTCTAGGAACTCGTCGAGCATCATATTTTTCTTCAAGGCTCTTTATGAAGAACTCTGACCATCGGGTCGGTGGTCTTCGTGCAGTGCGTTTAACATCCCGAGGAATCCAGTCACTAGCGGTTCATGCCCATCAGTTGTCGTTCATACGCATTACGTATCCGGCCCACCTTTATCTTCGACGCTTTGGCGTATAGAGCGGTATCTTTGATTTTTAATCACTGGCGCAGCTCGGATCTTCGGATCCCTTCCCTTACTTGTGTGACACGGTATACTCCTAGCATCGTCCTTTCAACTGCGCGTTCAATTACGCTGAGTAATCGTTAATCCTGCTTACGCAGCGAACAAGTCTCTGACACATGCATTAAGGCAGGAAGTACCGTTGAGTTGAGAAGGTGGGTACGGAGCCGAGTGTTTCTTGTTCCCGATGCTAATGAAAGCTTCCCAGGCCACTCATTTCCTTCTGCTCAGCTCTAGAGCTAAGTCGTTCATCATGTTGACTTTCCGACATAGATAGACATAACTATAGGAGTTGGAGATATTCGTTCCGTTGAGCGTGAATGTGGCATACGAAACCAATCCGTTTCTCATGAACATCATTTTTATGAGATTTAGTCGAAGACCAATCTTTCCACAGGCTTTATCAAAGTCGTCAAGCGTGCGTTCCGCTTGGCAAATGTTTGGTGTTATAAGGACGATGTCATCAGCAGAGCGATGATGACGTAACTGCCGACCATCGATTTTCACTCCTATATTATCCCATTCCAGTGTTCGCATGACGTTCTGGAGGGTGGCGGTGAATAATTTTGACGAGATGGTATCGCCTTGCCTAACTCCTCTTTTGACGTCAATGTTAATGTCGTTGTAGAATGGTGATATCTTGGTTGTGAAATTTTTGTACAGCTCACTGAAGGGAGTAGAAGGGATGCAAACACTCTATAAAATGCTAGGACAATTTTGTGGTTTACGTACATGTGATCACGTGTTCTTGTTAGCGCAAAATATCGAAATGCTATTCAATTCACTTTTTCGTCCCATGTTTTCTAGGAGACAGGGTGTTAGGAATGTCCCGAAGAAATAGCCGAGAAACCATACATTCAGAATCGCTGACCAGATCCATATGTAGTCCTCTTGTGATATTCCTTTCTGAAATTGTGAATACTTGTTAGACATGAGATTGTGTGTGGGAAAAATAATAGCAACTAAGTGCCTTACTTCATTTCCACGTGCGATGTAGGAGCCATTGATCATTCTTTGAAATGATTTATATGAAGTATTTGGGTATGAATTTGAGTACCCTTCCTAAAGCACTCTGCTTCATTTCTAATACGATAGCCTGTCAATAAAATTTTGGTCAATGATATCTAGACCATTGCGTTATTGATAACCCGACAACAGGAAACATTTTGGTTACTGAGCTCATAGGAACATTCATAGGAACAATCTACTCAGATAAGATAAGCAATGTGTCTATCTAATATTGAAGAATTAACATGGGATATACGCTAGGCGGGACGTGTGGCGCAGTGGTTAGAGATACTCTATGCTGCACACTCGGTCGTTGGTTTGATCCTGCACCTCGGGTCTTCCATCACTCAAGTGTTGGGAAATTGGTACAAGAGTTATATGGTAGCAGCACTTACTTTACATGCCGAATAGCCACTGCAAGCCACTGTGTTGGCCAGATATGCATTCAAGCACCTCTGAAGATGCTTAATGAAGTCGAATGCATGTTGATTAACTCAGTGATCGATCAGAGCCGGATTTCTAATCCTTTATTTTTATCAGGCTAGATAGCATCCGAGTATGATGCATCAGCTCCTTTGGTTTGTTTCTGGGCTATGGCTTTAACCCTAAACGCTTTTCGTCTTCGAGTTGATTTTTTGATTAGAAGGACGATTAAGAAGTTGCTTACTATGTAATTCAAACATAGGTTTCATATTTTATCGTTGAGATCACAAAAATGTTTAGTCGATTAGTGTACGTTGTTGAAACTTTCTCGACGTTCCGGAGTCCGTCGAAACATTAATCATTCCAGGGCAGACATTTTGTGAAAGATCTCTCAACATGAACGAGTATAAGATATTGAAATTCCGAGATTGAATACCGGCATTTAAACCACGACTTGGTGACAAGCATATAGAATTCGGATATGCTATGCTTCTAACAAGCAGAAAGTTCATAAGAATTACTCAAGTGGTCGTACTACTGTTCTGCCTAGCCATTAAGTACTTGGATACTTGGACCGTCCGTCCTCACAGGTTGTGCGGGCCCCAGTATAGTCATCATTCTTCTGAGCGCAAGTTTAGCTATTGTGTTTCCCTAGAGGCCCGACGCCAGGCTATCCAAAATCTGCCCCAGGGTGCCACCGCAAGTAGTCGCCACCCTTGTGGATGAGAGGGGGATTTGCCACCGTGCGACTTGGTGCCAGGACGGTGGTTGATCCTGGTATTGGTTTACTCTTATTCAGGCCTCATGATGGAAAAGTCGGACTTCTTCTTAGGTTGGGGAGACTCTGTCGGTGGAATGAATCGCTCCGCTGTGCATCGCAACCCGACACTCAAGAAAACCTCCCAGACACGATAAGGCGGTAAACCGTTGGCAGGAGCTATTAAGTATACCTTCATTAATATGAAATTTACTTCAGTTACATACAAAAACTCACACAATAGCATTTCTGTGAGGGAAAATATTATGGCATATTCTTTTAACTGTTCGCTTTTTCACTCACCGGAAAATTCACGACAGCGGATAGCAGACCAAAGGTGAGAAGATAGAAATTCATGCGGTCTGAAAAGTCGAAATTTTCAGAGGTCTGTTTGATTACATCCATTTAGTTGCAGTAACCATTGAAAAGAGAGCGATGAAGCCGTTACCTTGATGAGAAGGCATTATTGACTCTGTTGATAGTAGCAAATCGTACTATATAACAAGTTGAATATACTCTTCCGATGATCGATAACGACTGCCGTAGTACGGGACCCTTTTCTCATAGGATGCCCTTTCTAAAACTATTACGGCGAAATATTTCTGCATATTGTAGTTCTTCATTGAATTTCTCAGTTTTACGAGATTGTTAGCATGAATATATGACTTAATTTACAAAGTCACTGGAAAATAAATTTAAAAAGGGATTAAAATCTGAGAGACCATCTTTGTTTCTAAAACTTCTCGAGTCTAATGTCGTTTTGGATTGCTTAGTTTACACAGTGTTGGCACGAAATTTTTTTTCAACTAATGTTTCGTTGCCTTTGCTTTCTTTAGATCCGGAAGTCCATTGTCCACATCAGTTCGTCCCCGCGATGTGGGTCTTTGTAGGCTTATCGCTTTGAATTCGCTAAGAGTGAGAGGAAACTATTTAAATAAATCCCATTGGTAATGATTTCCTTTCACGAGGACAATTCATCCTGTAGCAACTGGCAATAGATTAGTTAACACATTCACTCACATCACAGGAATAAATGGTTGTGAGCAGACGACTCTACTTACCAAGGCTATAAAGAAGTCAAGAACACCGAAAAGTTAGTCCAATAAAAGTTTATAAAAGCTCCGTATAAGCTGAACAATCGAAAAGCATACTGATTATTGGTGCTGTGTTTATGTGGAAGACCGTTTGCAAAAGTACACGAAAAGGAAAAAAAAACTGGATGAGAGAAAGGGAAAGCAAGGGTCTCGGTGGTGCAGTGGATAATCCGTGAGCTTCCAAAAAGGAAAATCGTGGGTTTGAATTTCGCCTGGATAAAAATTTTTTAAACATCTCAGAATCATTGTGGCTGTATTTCACATAACACTCTGCAATTAAGAAATAATATGCAGTAAATAAAAAGTTAAACATTACTAAGATGAGACTGCCAGCACAGTCATGATGTGGTGCTGATAACGGGAAAGTTCTTTAACAATCTTCTCCATTCCATACACCCTTTCTTAGATACCGAAATCCCCACCGGTGAAAAATTACCTGGGATTCTACCCTTTGAAGTTCGAGTTGCGATAGAAGCACAACACGAGGGCTCGATAATCTCACTGCCGATTTTCTCAGGGCCGAAAGGTGACCCCGCTCCCCGAGCGGTTCTCCACTGAAGCAGATTCGACCCGATACGACGACGAAGACACCGCATCGAGAGAACGAACCCCTGTGAACCATCGATTCCGATCATCGGCTCTGAAGAAGGAGAAGACGTCGAAACGCTGGCCGAATAAGCCTTCAACCGTGTGCTAGCTTGGTAATCCAATAAGGCATAAAGAGTAGTAATGGACATGGAATTAGTTTTATTCCATGAATATTCATTAAACGCTGTGAGGGGTGAGGTGAGGACTTTATCACTCTTACCACGACGTATAATCTCAGCTTTGTTGCTGACTAAACGACGGCGCCCAATTTTCTTCCTTCATGGACTTGCTGGTTCTTAATTTAAAAAAAAAAAAAGCAATACTGTTCAACAACTAGACGACTTCGTAGGTTGTGAACATTAAAAGGTTGTAGGAAACAGTTTGCTCTATCGTTCTATGGGTGCAAGTGATATTTATGATGCTACTTACTATTACTACCACTTAAACACCTTCTACAGCACACCTAGCTCTAAGTTCAACACGATACTGTCAGCATATGGAAGTGTTTTGCAACTTACTGCCCTCTATTACAGTGTTTTCTTATGATGATACACTCTATACGATGGCTACTATTCACTATAGAAATTACAATTCATAGTAATCGATTAGCACCAAAATTTCTGGTTAGTGAGCCCGTTCGGAAAACGATTTTTTCTATATTTATATATATTTTCTTTACATTTCTAAGTTCAGATGGGGCTTTCTCGACGAACCCCCAATTGAACATCTGTATTTTACAAAACTTAGAACAAAAACTGTGGAAGTATGACTTTAATGAAGCTGAGATATTTGCAAAGCACCGGACCGCAGGTGTCTGCGGTGGGAAACGAAGCGCTATTGTCCTTTCCGGGGAGTAACGCGTTCACCACCACACCATGTGGGTCTTTCGTTTCGCCTGTCTCCCAAATAGTTCTCTCGACCGTTAAAAAGAGTAGGCAGTAAATAATAAGTTAAGACTATGGAAGGATGGTTCTATGCGGTAAAATAAGCTACAAGAAAGAAAATGAGACCTAGAGGTGTTACAACTGCCGCTCCTGCAAAAGCATCATAAAACCTATAAATGTTACTCTTCACAAGAATGCTAAGGAGTTCAACTTGGCGAAGCATCGTTCGTCACTGAACGGTAGGAATGGTTCAATCATGAGAAGTCCGGTTAATTGCTGGCATAATATGCAGTTCAAGTGGAACGTGTGGCTAGACAAACGAGTGTGAGTATTCGTTTTATACAACAGACACCAGATAAACGTCCTTGTTTGGTGTTCGTAGTGTCAGGCGGAGAGCTGCTACGGAAAGTGTAAGTAAGATAATCATTCGTCAAATGCTGTATAATCTCATCTACATATTATTTTCGCAACATGCTTGCACTCTTTCACAGCGCAGTGCCAGACATTTACTAATCGTATTTCCACCATCATTTCTCTCCAGCATCAAAATTAGCAGTCAGGTTCGTTTTTGCTATAGAACCACAAGTGAATTTAATTTTGAATCTGGAAAGAAATTTTATTAAAATATCACCTCAGAACATTTGGTAGTGGGAGGTATTCCTGGGTGTTGGGCTGCAATGTACAGCGTGGGAATTCATCCCCAGAAGTGTCTACCAAGCTGAGAAGGAGATCGGCGTTTCTATCATGCAGCCTAGCTAAGAGTAAACGAATATCAGGATCCACTACCGTCCTAGTATCAAACTAGTCGTATTGTGGGAAATTTCCCTCTTATCCACAAAAACGGTGAGCAGCTGTGGTGGTGACGACCTGAGTCAGACTTTGGCCAGGCTGTCCTTGGGACTCCAAGGAAGTACAATGGCTAAACCAGCAAATCGCTGTGAAACGGAAATTATGCTGGCGTCCACACAACCAGTGAAGACGGGCCATCCAAGCAAGCAAATTACTATTGAATGCGTATTATTTCAATACGATGCACTAACGCAAAGTACGACTGTGTGTAGTGATTTCTTATGACTAAGCAGTAAATTCTCATGCAATTGGTCTTCTTCTCATTTGCAGGTATTTCGTATATCTGCTAGTTTGGCACCTTCTCTGTTGTGAACGTTAGTACTCGGTTTTATTACGCGTGTACATACTACCTATGGATTTTTGCCGAATCCATCTATAATTTTGCATTTATTATATGGGAGGGGAATTTTTAGAAAACACCATGGATACGTCAACATCGTTGAATATGCGATAATGCAATGGATTAGTAAGCTCATCGACGGCGGAGAGAGAGATGGAGGAGGAGAGAAAAAGGAAACGGCGAGAGAAGAACGAAATGTAGCGAAGTGAATACGTTTTCTAAAACTTTTACTTTTTTCATTGATACACCAAAATTCTTTGTTTTGAATGATATGTAAGAACCTAACATGGTTCTCAAACATTACTGTTGTTGGAAGGTGTTGGTATTCAGTAGCGATGTAAGTAAGGCTTTATCCTCTAAGACGATCCAGAGTTCGAAATTTCTATCCAGAAAACTGGAAAAGTGGAGCACTTTCAAGATACGCCATCGTACAAGTACAAACCTAGACATGACATAGTAAAGCTGGAGCAGATCGACAGGGGACAACCAATGCATGTGACGACGATATCGGAACTCCACGGTAACTTATCTCGGCTCTCCACGGAATACCCTTAGTACTCTGCACATTCGGCATTCTCAACAAGTCGGGTGATGGGATAAGTAGTGGAGACGATTGAATTCCAAGCTGCACAAGATCCGACTGAAATCGGATTGTAACACTGCATCCAGGACACACTATGGAGACCGTTTCATGGTACGTACTTGTGCGGCAACAATCTCTTTATAAATACGAATCTCCACTCTCTTCTTGATGGGATAGCTAAAAATCATAGAAAATAGATTCCGTCAGGAAGAAGAGGTGAAGCAGACTTCGTCGTTCACCTATCTGTTATTTCACGAAGTCGTCAACCGTCCAACCCTTGCATGAAAAGGAAATCTGTGTCATCTGTTGCTACTCGCCAGTAACTCTAGCTGATATTAGCGAATTCGCATTTTACGATGAGTTCCAGTTGTCCTTCTATGGAAGTATTCAAAACAAGCGGAGAAGGAAAATTCAGTGAAAGTGTATGCGGTACCCGAAAAACTGGAATAGGAGTGAGATCGAAATGAGATTGGAAACCGTCCTAGTTGGTTTCCATTAACGGTGCGTATTATTCATGAAAATACTTTGTTCCGAAAAAAACAAAGACGTAACTAATATATACGTGTCCAGTCCAACAACCGTGTCCCCAAAATGAGAAAGTGATGTCACTACAACACCCTCCTATTACTGTCATTCAGTGATAAAATGTGGTAAACGGCTTCTCCGTGAGAAAACTCATAAACGGGAAGCAGACTTCTATCACCACCGAAACAGGTATTTGGTTTGTGACATGCTCGTCGAACGTAGCCTATACGTGTACTCGGCTCAGAGGAAATTGAGCTCGATCTAACTGTAACACACTTAACACTATTACCAATAAATGCCTACTATAGAAGCTTCAAGAAAGCCTAATTCAAAGTAGAGACAGGGACAGCTGATGGAAATAACTCGAAAAAGAGATACTGAGCAAGCGGATTCTGGGTTACTGCGAATGTGATGTTCTTGTTTAAGAAATAGTCCTGTTTAAAAAAAAACACGATTTCCGCAATATCCTGGTGTGTAATTCATACCCTGGAAATTTAGGTCTGAATTTCTTTCTCTACAGTACTTGCTGCTAAAATCCTCTT